CACCCTTTCGGGAAGATAGACGCACCTACTACCCTTGCCCGAGCTAGCTCGTCAGTCACCTCGGTTGCTATGGTGCAGACGCTTCGCAGCTCATGATGTGAAGTGTGAAATTACTGAGCGCTTGGTTCATGATTTCTTTCCGTCCAGCCTAACATTTTGGCCCATCTTGGCTTTTTCACTCATCACACTTCCTGACATAAATTTGCTTTCATCTGAGTTTCCGATAACCACCCGAGGCCTCGTACATTTTTAGGGAAGCCTAAGAAGCCAAAACTGAACGCTTCCGGTGATACGGATTCTCTCTTCAACGTCTCTTCCCTCCCCGACGCTGCATCCACTCCCGCCCAGGGCGCTGCCCCGAAAAAGCACCCACGACATTCCATGCCGGCTATGAGCAACGGTGTAAAAAATCCTGGCGAGGTAAATCCTCCCGGATCAGCACCTCGACAGCCTTTCCGGCGAGTCCCTGACGACTGCGTGACGCTGGATCCTCGCCGAGCTGACAATTCATTCCTTGCCAAGGTACGCCAATCCCAGCGCTCTTCTTTTTTCTCTTTCTAGGCTAAGGGTTGGATTCCGTCGTCTCTGCAATTGGTATTCTGACTCAGTCTGAGAGAAACTGCAAATGATGCCTTTGGTTTTTAGGATGGTTTAGGCAGCCTTGTGACTAGAAATCTGTGTAGCCACCACTTCCCTTCACACCGCTGTCGACCAGATCCTGCAAATAAGGTGTTGGATCGTACACAGAGAGCCTTTGTAGAGCTTTTTAATTTCCTAAAAAATTAATTTCTTTTCGCGGTTAACGTCAGGATATTTAAGGTCTATAGGCATAGAGCGGACTTGTCAGTGTATATTTGGGCCGAAACCCGTCAAACACTGCGATGTTGCTACTTACCATACCAATAACCTAAGTACTAGCTAAAAGACCCAGACACGTGTTTCACCGGTATCCTGCCGCTGCTTGACACAGCTGCGAGGGGTCCGGCTCATCAATGAGGCCCCAGCTTCACCTATCTGCTTTCTAGTTGATACACCGGTTTTGAAAATTCGGCTCTTTAGTTTCCTGAAATATTAATTTTCTGTACAGCGCCGATTATAAAAGCCATAGGCTAATAGTTCGGTCATTTGATTGGATGCGATTCTTCCACAATCTGGCGACTTCGACATGTTCATGCAAACAAGAACATTCAACGCAACTGGATACCAACTAGATACCTAAGTCTTGGTTATTCATTTAGTTCCCAACAACCAGAGCTATCGGTGCTCGAACAACCGGACATACTACTGAGCTCCTGGAACCCAAGCCGCCAACTGGAAACCTTAATCCCTAATTAACTTTAATGACCAAAGGTCCCGGGTTCGAATCTCGGGGGTTCCTACCCTTGACATTGGGTATGATTGGCTAATGATGGCTAACAAGTCATTCCGGTCTCTCTTTGCTTTATCGGATCCATTTCAGACCTGTTTGTCTAGGAAGTCTTATTCGGCAGTTTGTCTAGCACTGGAAAGGACTAATTTTGCGAATTGGGAACACATCAGTCAACAGCAACTTTTGCTTTTCAAATTTCAGGCGGGTGCGCGTGGAAGCTTTGGAGAGAAGGCTGACCAGACGCTGAGATACACACGAGGCAAGGACTTTCGCCATGAAAAGACTAAGAAGAAACGTGGTACCTACTCCGGCGGTGCCATCACAACGGACGTGTACTCCTTCAAGTTTGACGAATAGAGCGCCCTCTCCCGCCTGTGTGTTGTACATATCCTGATCTCCACTTATCCACCCACCCCTCGCCCGCCCGTTTATAATACAAACGTACTATTAAAGCATTACTGACGTCCCGCAGTTCTTTTTTCTGACTGGAGGCTGGATGGAAAAAGAGACCAAGAGAATAGGGGGGAAAGTATGCATATATCTGTATTTGTGAATGAATAGAGCATTGGAGTATCACAATAGGCGGAGGAAAAAGGACAATGGGGGAGGTGAAGGGGGGAGGACATTTGGCTCAATTAAAATTTGTTTACAGTAGTCGT